TTTGGTCAATACGATGCACGCAGAAACCCGATGCCCATCGTAGACGGCCAATGCAAGTTAAAAGAAAGAAAACAAAGAAACAATCGCGACACCCTGTTTATTGCTAATTGCTGGCAATAAATGAATGGACAGCCGCTTATGGCCATTATCCGACAGCCAGCAAGACGCGCTTCCAGATTAATACTGTAATAAGAAAAGAAATATTTTATTACAAGACTTAAAACCAAACAAAACTGGTGCTGAATTAACCAGAATTACCTGAGTAAAAGAAAAACACTCTTGTGGTAAATAAAGATAAAAAGTATACGCGTGTGACGTTTTCCGAGAAAGCAGAACTGCTGAACTGGTTAGGCCGGTGCAATAAGGTTTTGTCATCAAGTGCGAGTGACCAGTAACCATTCCAAGGTTAAGCTGTATAGACAGATACTGCTATTGTGTTATACAGTCGTTATAGTTCTGTCTCTGCCCAACAAAAACGACCTCACTACTGTGTCTTTGTTCCTCCTCTTTAGGCCCCGGGTACGATACGAGCGGTGAGCGGCGTGAGCGGCGCCGCTCTGACATTGGGTCTAATTTTCATTTAGTTGCGTGTAAGTTTGTTGAGGGTGGCCACGATCATCGACATATAAAACTAACTTTTTTTATATGTCGATGGCCACGATACGTCTGAGCGGCGAGCGGCGGTAAGCGGCACCGCTCATGGTTCCAAGTCAAAACCGATTTTCGCGAAAACGCCGCTCGCCGCTCAGGTGAGTCATGCTTCAGTTTGGCCTAAAATGACAGTTACAGCAGCAAACATGCGATACGGGTCGATACGTGAGGTGCAGTCCAGGGAATGTTGGTGGAATGACCAGCACGGAAGTTTTAAAACACTTCAGCACAGAAAACATATTACTTCAGTCACCAAAAACGTATGGGACAAAGTAAGGGTTAAGGTTTTCTAAAAACTAAGTTTTTCTTTAAAGGCAAACAAATTGTCAGATAGCAACAATAGTTTCGATACGTCTTGCAGGTAAGCATAGTTTGCCATTTTCGACTAAACTGACTCATAAAACTGGGGAAATTTGATGAGCGTTATAAAATTTGCCGCTTGTATCGTAGCCACCACAGCCGCTTACGTGCCGCTCAGGCTACCGCTCGCCGCTTGCCGCTCACCGCTCGCCGCTCGTATCGCACCCGAGGCCTTTAGGCTGTGGCTCCACTTGACGTAGATTGTCGCGCTGCAATACACCACACGCGACAGTCGGTGATTCCACTTAAAACGTACTACAATCTGCAGCGTCCTCGCATGCACCTGCACCGTGGCTCCACTAGCAGTTTAGTGTAGCACTAAGGTAGACGTAGCCCTGGATCATGCCACAAATTAACATTCGTAGTGTTGTTATCAGTGTACTTTTAGCAAGACGACGCCGATCACAACAAAGAAAATGGTGGATCCGTCCAATATTAAGCAACAGAAAGTCCGAAGAGATGTTAAACACACATTGCGTAGCAAACTAAAAAAGTATTCAGACAAGTTTTTTTTATCGAATGTCCCAAAATTCTGTTGATCGCTTAATAGAAGCACACACACGCTTAATAGAAACACGTTCGAAGAAGGATTCCAAACTGAGAGAAGGAATTGGAGTAGAGGAAAAGCTTTCTGTGACATTAAGGTAATTTTTACTGTACTGAATTTTAACTAATTAATTGTATACAGTGAAACCTCGCTTCAACAAGCCTCGGTGTGTGGAATTACTCTATTTTAATTTTTAATGGTCATTTTATCTTCATCTCTATTCTATTTGCATTTGAATTTTATAATAAAATTTAAACCTTTACACTTTTCAACCATTTTTGAGATATTTGAAATCTATTTGTGGCAACCTTCTTAAACTATGAGGGGCTACAATAATTATGGTCAATTTTGAAAACTTTGCACGTAGGGTAGCGGGGGTAGGGGGGTAGATCAAAATTTTCAAATGACAAGTATAGTCGAGTTTGGTATCATTTTACAGGTTTTGACAAAACATAAAAATCGACATAAAGAAAACCAAAATCGGCCCACTAATAACAAAATGGCGCCATAAAACGTTTAAAATCCAAATAACGATGAGTATGGTTGAAAATTAACTTGCACCCCCTTTAACTTGTTAACTATTTAATATATTTGAAATCGGTTTGCGGCAACATGTTTGGATATGACGGGCTACAATAATTATAGTCAATTTAAAAAAAATTCCCTTAGGGGTAGCGGGTTTAGGGGGTAGCCAGGGGGGTAGCTCAAAATTGTCAAATAGCAAGTATAGTCGAGTTTGGTATCATTTTACAGGTCTTGACAAAAAATAACAATTAACATAAAGAAAATAGAATTCGGACCATTAGAGTAACAAAATGGAAGCTAAAAACCATTAGGCGTAAGACAATGGTTATTAAAATCAATTTTGAGCTGCCATTTTGTTATTAACGGTCCGATTTCTATTTTCTTTATGTTAATTAGGTAATAGGGCAAAAGAGATGCCATTTCCGCCAAGTGTAGTCCGGTAAAACCGATGTCCGGTTAAAAGGTGTCCGGATAAGAGGGAGTCTACTGTATGACTCTTACGCCTTCAGTATTTCTACAACCAACCAATTGTTAAGAGTGACGTTCATGATTTGGATGGACATTGTTGACTTAAATACTCTAAACAAGCGGGTGAGGTATCTTCAAAACTGAAGAAAAAATTGAGATCAACTAAGAAACTATCTAAACTAACCTTACTATAAGAAACTATCTAAACTAACCTTACTAACCAAACTTGCTGATTATGAAAAAAATCTGGTAGGTAGTGAACAAGTCTGGTTTAGTTACTAGTTATTACGGTACTAACATTTCAAAGAAACAGGATGAACATATTGAAGCACAAGAGAACTCCTCAACCCCTAAAGAAACAAGAACTCGGAAAGAAAATAAAATCCTAAGGAAATAAGATTCGTAAACTTGAAAAAATGTAGGCCTAAATAGTTTTGTTGGAAATTTTGATAACATGCAACAAAATTCCAAGGTGGGGAGGATGTTGTAAACTGAGTTATTTTATATAATAGGCATGCATTCAAGATCAATTTCCATTAGAACTCAAGAACTCATAGTTTGTTTATCTTTGTTTGGTTATTTAACATAACTTAATATGCCTATGTTATTATTTAAAATTTATTTATGCAATGAAAGAAACCAGTTGAAGTTGAATCAATAAAAGTTAAACAACTACACATTAATTTTGTTAAATAGAAAGAGGAATGTTTAGTAGGCCTTCAGTATATATTAATGATGTATCAGAATTAAATCATTTTTGTTAATATATTCTGTATAATGTGTGGGCACTCTGCAGCATGTGAGAGAGTCCTCCTGCTCCAGAAGATTGTTTTGAGGATTATATGACAGGAGCTGAGTGAGCTGAGTATAGGCAACACTGCAAACCTTTATTAAGCCTAGTCCACACATGGAGACTGAGTCGGCCGACTGCCTGCCGACTGTGCGCGGACAGTCGGCAGACAGTCTGTCAACACAGTTTCAGATACAAGTTTCCGATATGTTTTGCGTCCACACTAGCCAGCCAGTGTTTCCATTTTTGTTGGTATGGTGACCGAGGAGGACGTAATTATATCCTGTGCGGGCTTCATTTTTCTGAGCCATGGTCCTAATGAATCTAGGAAGAGACTATGATGGACTCAACATTTTCTCGAGCAAGGTTCGTACTATGGTCGCAATCTTCTATCAGACCTTCAGATTAGGTGGAGGATTTAGGAACTTCACGAGGTTGACTTCTAAGGATTTTAAAATTTTGCTGGGCTTTAAGATTTTAAACTTGAAGAGATGAACAATTCAATAAAATGTCATATACCGTATTGATATAAATAATTGAAAACTAATTCCAAAACTTTCAAGAAACTCAATCCAGCCATTTTATTACTGCCCAAAAATCGTAATATTACCGCTTTGCAGTCCCGGTCCAACTAAATGGTCTGAATGTTGAACACCTTCGGCTTGTATCCAGTCTCATGTCTCCAGACACGTCAACACATGCAGACTTGAGACAAAAGTTTTATCTCTTGTCTCCGTGTTTCCCATTCGAACGGGAAACAGAAAACACTGTATTTTGTCTCCAGAAACACCGAAATTTGCCTGCCGACAGTCGGCTGACATACTGGAGACAAAATAGCAACATTCTGGAGACAGTCGGCAGACAATGTTTCCGCAGACAAATCGCCATGTGTGGACGAGGCTTTAAAGAGCTTGGTATCCTGAAAGTCTAAGGGAACTACATATTGAGCTCCTCTACGTAAAAGAGAATTTAGCTGTGCTGATTTTAAAATAAGAGGGCAGCTTCACGGTCACAATTTAAGAAACAACAACCTGATCTCTATTCCCAGATGCCGTACTTCTAAAGTGAAGGACAGTTTCCCACTACTGGCTTGTAAGATGTTTAATAGACTGCCTGAGAACATTAAGAACCTGGAACCCAAACTGTTCAAAAAGAAGCTTTAAGTCGTGGTGTTGCCAACAGAGCTTTTTAAGTGACCCAAGAATGTCCGTTTGAGTGAGACAGCAGTAAATTACATGCCGAGTGCATATTATTCCTTGTGAATTTTTCACGTTGATATAGTAAATCCAACATTCTTGAAGTGTGGAATTGTGTAAAATTGGCGTACGGTAACTTACATTGAGGTTTTGGAGGAACTGTTGTTAGAGTCGGTTTTATTAAATTCCAGTCAATATTTGGGACTGGAATTGCTTTTCCCCCAATTATTATCCTCCAAAACTTCATTTTAACTTATACTCTTTTTACACAATTTCACACTTCAGAAAGTGTTTTTAAGCTGGGGTCTGGGTCCTAAATTTTTACCTCCGGGGATTGAAACAGCGTTAAGCTACCTACAATTATCGCGACTCCAAGTAGGCCTAATGCTATCACTGTTTTCCTCCAAAACATTGAAATAGGTACAATTATAGAATAACGATTTTCAAATACTATGTTACTAACCTGCAATAACAGTATCCGAGAGGTCATATTTTCCACCAGTCCTTGGGAATTCCTTAAGTTTTCTTCCACTTAGTTTTAGCTCTCCTCCTAAATGAGCTTCTTCTAGTATTTTTTCTAAAGAGCGAGTCAACTGGTTCGATAAATGAGGGCTCATACTTGAGGCAACCTTCGCCATAAACCATTTCTCATTTTATTTTGTTATTAATAAGATCCAAAATAGGATGATCTAGGATCTAGTTTGTACCGACAGAGACACATACCATGCTTACGAGATTGACTCTTATTTGAATTAAAAATACTTTACTACTGATACGTCCAAAAGAAATCTAGGCTACAGTTATTTTAGGCTACGTTGAAAACAAATTGCTATTGTTTTGTTACAGATGACTCATTTCATAACTCGCCATATGAATTTGATAGCGCTCACTGAACATACACTGACACTATAAACTCACACTTTCTACTTTTATTCCAAGGAGTGACTCACTTACTAAACTCTCGTCTCGCTCATTGCACTGACTGACTGACGACAAACGAAACAACGAACGAAACGACAAAACAGAACAGAAACAGACTTCTTCTTGTTCTTACAAAGACACAGCCACAGCGCAAGCGGCAAGCGCATAGCACTAGCACCATAGATTATGTCTATACCCCTTTTATCTATGCTAGCACTGAAACAGGGGCCCTATTTTTGAAATGGTTGACTGTTGAGTTGAGTGTCGAGTCATTCTATTTCCAATCGTTTCGTATTTTTGAAACGGTTGACGGTGGACTTATACAACCAAAACTACTCAACACCTATCGAGCTGTTGAGTGGAGGTTGACTGCACTTTCTTCTTCCTCTCTTTCGGCAAAAAACTACTCTTTTTGAGACGACGCCATATTGTTTTGTTATTGCTTTAATTTACTAATTGCGATTTAGAGGTTATGTATTTGTTGTCAATGTATTAGCACCCAATTATGCGGGGTCTGACCACTGAGCTAAAATTATAACTGGAGGTAGCACTGCCATGGCAGAAGTCTGTCAAAAGCGAGTCGCTGATTTTGTTAGGTTGGTATAGCAGTAAGTTTTCTTACCATAGCAATAACATGGCTTCTTATAACTAGGTTGGTATAGCAGTGAGTATTTTTGTCATACTTGAATACTTTTAATACTTTAATAATTTTCTTTGAAATGGTGACCATACAAAGTAGGTATTTTAAGCCAAGTATAATAATAGTTATAGCAATAATATGGCTTCTTATGGACACCCACCTCACGCAAACATGGCGGCTGGCGACACGCATCTTTGACATTCAGTGCTACCTCCAGTTAGAATTATAGCTCAGTGGGCAACCATAGACTAACCAACACAAGTAGACTTCTCATCCCATTGTAAATTTTGAAGCACGTTTTTCGTGTCTAGTTCATGTAAGAGACACAAAGGCGCTAGTGTCGATGAAACTTTGTTTCCGTTATTTTAGGGTTTATTTCTTGATTTTTGCTTTACTGTTTGGTTATATAACTAGGGGACAAGTTATTGTTTATGATTAGATCGTATTATTTGGTTAAACGAGGTTTAAAATGGCTGTAATAACGGGAAACAAATTGTAAACAAAACACGACCTCTACAGAAAACCGTACAGAACTAACAATAAAATTGTCTTCAGCTGTTCCATAAGGATGGGAAATCTACTAAGGGAGTATGTTTTATCTATGGTCTGACTTAGGGGAGGTACGAATGAGGCATTTAGTTCAAAATTCCTCCGTGAACAGCGCTGTAGAAGAGAGCACTTTGGCAATGAAGGTTTACTAATCGCAAAAATAGTTCTGTTCATAAAATAAAATTATAAATGTCTCAAATTCAATTTTATTATTTTTTTAATATAAAATTAAACTATCATAACCTAACCGAACTAACCAAACTTGCTGATAAAGAAATATTATAACAAAAGTTTAGTAATCGGAAAAATAATTCTGTTTATTAAATAAAACTAGAATTTGCTCAATTAAAATTTTATGGTGACTAATAATAAAATTAAACTGTAATAACCGAACAAACCAACCAAACTTGCTGATAATAAAAAAATCTTGGACAAAAAGTTAAGGCTACCAACAGGATTCGAACCCGGGACCTACAGTATATCAGCACGGCACGCTAACCATTAGACCACCAAGGCCGATGGCTACCGACCGTTTTGTTACGGTAATGGCGTTCCCTCAGCTAATAAGAAGCCCACAGCTGTCATCGTAGCCTCTTCTATACCTCCCCTGAGTAAATACCAATTATGCGATTGTTTTCTGTAGAATAATCGCATTTTAATTTTATTTACTGTGTCAATACTAGACTATTTAATCAAAGGTTTTATTCTTGTTGGAATGTTTGAAATAGACTAGGCATACTAATTGAACTTATTATAAGATAATTATTGTTATTAGACCTATGATTTAAGGTATTAAAGATCGTGGTAGAGAGAAACAATATCATAGTTTGTTTCAATACCATTCGCCTAATAAAGGGATCAAATTAATTTAAGTTACGATATGCTTTCAGTGCAATGGCAAATAGCCGCTTTAACCTAAATAAAAAACAATTAAAAATAACATAAAACAAACCGATGAAGAAAACTAAAATAAGGTGATGTGTTCCGAAATAGAGACGAAGAAAGCAAATAATAATGTATTTAGGATGAGTGTAGGACCTAAAGTAAAGTGCAGCCTATGCCTAAACTTATAATTAGCTACACCCTAAAACAAACATCCATAGTAAATTTTATTTTTTATACTTAAGTTTATTACTTTATTTAGTTTACTTTAGTTAATTACTTAAGTTAAGGTACTTTGCAATCACTAAGATTAAGATTAAGCAAGACATAACCTCAATCTCAATCTCTCAAGAACGGAGTTGACAGTTTACCTCAGTGTCTCGAAATATGGCAGATTGAGATTAGCTGCCAGATTTTAGAGTAAGAAGAGGTTAAATCGAAGTCCGCAAGAACTCTGCATTGTGATTGGTTCAAAATGACGTCATCTAAATTTTTGACGGTCGTATGCTCTACATTTCCACCACGAGTCTCTCAACTAGTGATTCCCAACTCGCTTCCCAACTGTTGGGTTTCAAAAATACCAAATCATGTTGTTGGTTGAGTTGAGTGCTGAAGATTGACTCAACTGTCAACCATTTCAAAAATAGGGCCCCTGATACGGAACCATTCGCACGTCAAAATGACGTCATAAAGTATAAAGTCACAATCCGTTCCCGTTCCAGTATTGCAAAATAATACAAAGGGAACAGTTACTTCTAGAAGCCATTTCGAATTACTTACTTAGTCACATTAATTTCGGTGAAGATGGAGGTTCCTTTATACATTTTTGTTACTTTGAAGCGTTTAAGAATTAAAAAAAAAAAATAAAAGACGAGCATATTCAGTTGTGGCGCATCCATAACATCTTACCAGGGGCCCTATTTTTGAAATGGTTGACTGTTGAGTTGATTGTCGAGTCATTCTATTTCCAATCGTTTCGTATTTTTGAAACGGTTGACGGTGGACTTATACAACCAAAACTACTCAACACCTATCGAGCTGTTGAGTGGAGGTTGACTGCACTTTCTTCTTCCTCTCTTTCGGCAAAAAATTTCTCTTTTTGAGACGACGCCATATTGTTTTGTTATTGCTTTAATTTACTAATTGCGATTTAGAGGTTATGTATTTGTTGTCAATGTATTAGCACCCAATTATGCGATTGTTTTCTGTGGAATAACCGCATTTTAATTTTATTTACTGTGTCAATACTAGACTATTTAATCAAGGGTTTTATTCTTGTTGGAATGTTTGAAATAGACTAGGCATACTAATTGAACTTATTATAAGATAATTATTGTTATTAGACCTATGATTTAAGGTATTAAAGATTGTGGTAGAGAGAAACAATATCACAGTTTGTTTCAATACCATTCGCCTAATAAAGGGATCAAATTAATTTAAGTTACGATATGCTTTCAGTGCAATGGCAAATAGCCGCTTTAACCTAAATAAAAAACAATTAAAAATAACATAAAACAAACCGATGAAGGAAACTAAAATAAGGTGATGTGTTCCGAAATAGAGACGAAGAAAGCAAATAATAATGTATTTAGGATGAGTGTAGGACCTAAAGTAAAGTGCAGCCTATGCTTAAACTTATAATTAACTACACCCTAAAACAAACATCCATAGTAAATTTTATTTTTTATACTTACAGGGTGTCCACAGAAATTTTGTCTTTAATTTCCCTGACTTTCCATGACTATCCATGACCATTAACCATTGATTTCCATGACTCACGAACTTAACTCAAAAATTATAATATAAGTATACACACGAATAATACTGCCTAGACAAGTTATTTCACAGAAAATATTGAAATATGTAATAACAGATAACAATGGAGTACAATAGGTACAACAATGAACTAATACAAACTCAAAACCCATAAACTAAGACAACTGTATAAATTGAAATTGGCGTACATTTGTGAAAAATTCGGAAAATGCTACAATAGTTGGGGTTACGACCCACTAGAGCATTGAAAGGTCCCCTGGAATCCATCCATCATTGGGGATTTCCATGACTTTCCATGACTTTTGCCTATTTCCATGACTTTCAATGACCAGAATTTTTTTTCCATGACTTTCCATGACTATCCCTGACTTTCCAGAATGTGGACACCATGTACTTAAGTTTATTACTTTATTTAGTTTACTTTAGTTAATTACTTAAGTTAAGGTACTTTGCAATCACTAAGATTAAGCAAGACATAACCTCAATCTCAATCTCTCAAGAACGGAGTTGACAGTTTACCTCAGTGTCTCGAAATATGGCAGATTGAGATTAGCTGCCAGATTTTAGAGTAAGAAGAGGTTAAATCGAAGTCAGCAAGAACTCTGCATTGTGATTGGTTCAAAATGACGTCATCTGAATTTTTGACGGTCGTATGCTCTACATTTCCACCACGAGTCTCTCAACTAGTGATTCCCAACTCGCTTCCCAACTGTTGGGTTTCAAAAATACCAAATCATGTTGTTGGTTGAGTTGAGTGCTGACGATTGACTCAACTGTCAACCATTTCAAAAATAGGGCCCCAGGTTAGTCTATGATCTTACCAACTCCTAGCTTTAATCTTCTTCATGTTATAAGAGGACATGAAAGATGGGTTGAATACGATGGAACTACATTATTTTGTCTTATTTAAAATTAAGTTTGCTGCGTTGTATATTTTCCTGTGTTATTCCAATTGTGCGTTACAAGATCTATATAGGTCTCGTCCACTATGATTAGACTTCATAATCATAAACCACAACCTGTATATCACAGCGTTACTTTACATGGGGGGTTTAGGCTTGCGTTATGCAGCGTCACAGGGTTGAAAGAAGGGTTTAAAAATGACGAAAATGCGTTACGTAATATGAGGACGGCACCTTACCTCTAGTTTTATAGTAATTTCTCGCTATGGATGTCCCGTTGTTATTATTATCGTTTTTCCTTATTTTACTGTTCTGCTAGTTACATTGTATATTTGTATGTGATTCCTTGTAATTTCTTGTATGTAGTATTGACAATATTTCCCAGTTGGTGGTCAAATGAATAATTACATTAATTATTTTTGTGCTTTGGAGGAAATTCAGCATAAAAAGATATCGGGTCGGAGTTCATAAAGTATACAGTTTCTAGTGAGAATAGCCATTAATTAAATATACTTATGCTGTTAGGCTTTATCTATGGAATAGGCCTAACTATGACAGTACAAGCATAGATAAAACATACTCCCTTAGTAGATTTCTCATCCTAATGGAACAGCTGAAGACAATTTTATTGTTAGTTCATGTACGGTTTATGCAGAGGTCGTGTTTTGTTTACAATTTGTTTCCCGTTAATACAGTCATTTAAAACCTCGTTTAACCAAATAATACGATCTAATCATAAACAATAAATTGTCCCCTAATTATTTAACCAAACAGTAAAGCACAAATCAAGAAATTAACCCTAAAATAATAGAAGCAAAATTTCGTTGACACTAGCGCCAAGTGTGGCGTACACTGAACTAGACATGAAAAACGAGCTTCAAAATTTACAATGGGATGAGAAGTCTACTTGTGTTGGTTAGTCTATGGTACAAGCTCGCTTTCCAAGTAAATTAATAATAATATGGACTGTAATTTCCAGGTTCCTTCGTTTCAGCGCTATTGCTGAAACCATTGGAACGACTTTTCAGTGATGTCATTCAAAAACATGCTTTGTAGCTAACCCTTCATAATCTTTCAACCTTACAGTATGTTGATGACAAGCATTATACTTGTTCTTGTTCTTCATTGATATTTTGTTTGAGGCGATTTTGGTTGGAGGTTGGAGTTTACATATTTAACCTAAATTTTTTCAAGCCAGGATAACTGTGTGGTAGTCGTATTTTATTTATTTAAACTATAAGAACGTATAAGAAATTGAAAAGTTAATATTTATTTACTACTTTATCTGTAGGTACTTCTTTACTTAATTTCAGATCTATTTTTATAATACAAGTTTCCAAGATGCATGATATTGTTCCTACAAAAGTTGTTGTTCATCCTTTGGTGTTATTGAGTGTAGTAGATCATTTCAACAGAATGGGGAAGATCGGAAACCAAAAAAGAGTTGTTGGAGTACTTCTAGGGTCTTGGCGCCCAAAGGGTGTACTTGATGTATCAAACAGCTTTGCTGGTAAGTTTTTTATTAAACGCATTAAGCTTAGCCTAGGCCTACCTATGATCTACCCTAATCGGTCCCTATGCCTGGTTGACTTAGGCTATAATGTGTATGCCTACACTAGTTATAGGACTATTATTTACATTTAAGCTAAGATAGTGAAGCCAGTAATGGTTAGGGCCCATTGGTCCTGTTTGTAGTACGGTAACGGCTGCACTTTACTTGACGTCCTACACTCATTCGATTGGTTTTTTCGATTCTATATTTTCATTCGATTCTTTCATTCGATATATCGTTTGGTTAGTTAGGTTAGGTTAACCTTACCTAACTAACCAAACGATATATCGAATGAAGCAATCGATTAACCCTTTGAGTGCCAACGTCCGGGGAACCGGACGTTTTTAAAACGAGCCAAAAGTGCTGACGTCCGGCCGACCGGACATTTTTAGAACGAGCCAAAAGTGCCAACGTCCGGCTGACCGGACGTTTCGTAATGATCGAACAGTTGTCATAACAACCGAATGGATACTCGGATTCTTTTAACCCATATATTAACATTGAGTCGAAAGTTACTAGATGCGATACATCGATTTTCGTTGGTCGAAATATCGAAAATTCGATTTTTACAAAATTTTAACCTAAAAATCGCCAGATTGCGCTCGGCATTTTTAGCGCGACCTTCGGGAAAAATCATCGGCATTTTTTGAGCGTTACTTTTATTTCTCGCCTGGCACTCTAAGGGTTAATCGATATATCGATCGATATTTTCATTTGAATGAGTGTAGGACGTCAAGTAAAGTGCAGCCACGGTAACTAGTTTAGCCTAATCGCTTTTGCTACATACATGAGTTTGCCGCAATCGCGGAAAAAGATTACGATGTTTCCGTCATTGCGGGAGACAAAATCGATGTCTACAAGACCGAAGATCATTCATGATTTTGCCCATGAAGGGAAAACATTGCGTTGTTCTGTGACCGCAAAAGACGAAGATGATGTCTTTAAGACCGAAGAAGATATTCATGATGTTGCCCCGATTAAGTAAATGGATGAAGAGTTTCAATGACCGGGGGAGGCGATTAAAAAATGTCCACGAGAGTTTTTGGATTTTGCCACGATCACAGCTTTTGCAAAGATAAACGAATAAAACATAAGTGGTGATGTTCCGGTTGGTGAGGGGGGGGGGCACTCAATGTAGCCTACTTAAACGCAACTGACACCATGGACCCATCTATGAAATTTTCACAGTCAGAATACACCTAGGCTATCAACATGTGTAGGCTCTTGGCTAATTGCTTACATCGTTATAAGTTAGGTGATTTCATAATCAAACAAATATCCACCTAACTTAAATTGATCCTTCTTGCTGGCAGGTGACAGTTCCACAGAGAACCTGCGATACATTATAGGATGAAAAACTTAGTAAATCGATAACTATCCGATTCATTATATCATTCCTATTTTTCTTCACTATGTAGGCCTAAACATCAAATTGGGTTTTAAATGATTTGTTTACAATTTTATAATTGATATTTAAGTTAATCAATAAAAATGAACTACAACTAAAACCACAAACTATGATAAATTAAATAGTCAAAGCCTATTATTCTGCTTTTCATGGGAGAAAATCAACACAGAATAGAATCATTTTAAACTGTTTTTTCCCTCCATTTTTAATCGTATTTACTTAGGATACAATTAATCAAGGATAAAATAACACAAAAAAGAATCTTTAATGTTTTTGTTAATGTTTTTATTATTTATCATAGTAGGCCTATGGTTTAAAATATTCGATGCAATATTAATATTGAATTGGATATATCCTACTAGGCCTAATATTAAAGTGAGAAAGTTTGGATATATGTATAAGTTTGGATGGATGTTTGTGACAAGTAACCGCGAAAAATACTGGTCGGATTGGGCTGAAATTTGGTGTGATGATAGCTCACATTCCTGCATTCTTTTTCTTAAAAATCCTTTCGGGTTCCGCCCCAGTGGCTCTGGAGTTTCCCATGTTAACCTTAAGAGTATTCATATTAAAAAAGAATCAAAGAATTTTTCAGCTGTTTCAACTACACAAGTAGGTTCTATGATATTAAATACTGTTACCTACATTAAAAAGTTATAGGTAAGGTTAAAAATAATAAAATAGGAAATGGGGAAAACATAGCAAAAACCTGTCCAAACAGAAGAACCATGACGATTCCCCGATCTACGGATTGTGGGGAAGACATCGAAGATAGAAGGTAAAAAGGAATAGGGTGCAGCACTATTATTTATTTTAGCATTTACGTTATGACAACATCTAATTTGAACAAACCGTGTCCTCTCCCATTGCAAATGGAAAGCTTGAGTATAACTGCAATAAGCATTCTATACTTATACACCAACCCCTTATGAAGGACGGGTACTCTGCTAGTATAGACAGTATAGATATCGTAACTCATCCAATAATATATCTAAATACTACAATATGTCTCACTCCCACGCACAGGTTATCCCAGTGGGATTAATTTTTTGTTTATTTTTAGCTATACATCTTAAAACTGATTTCTATTGTACCGAACATTTTGTATTATGTATACATTGTTTATTTTCCACTAAATTAAAGATTTCTTGATTTGATTTGATCACAGGTTCTCTGCGGAACTGTACCCGACTCAAGTCCCAAACCTCTCTTGACTGATTGTCACCTTATTTTAATCAGTTTAGCTTAATTCTATGGTAATTATTGTATCATTTAAGCTTATTCACAGCAGTTGTAAAATCAAGTTAATAGTAGGCTTACTACAATCAGTGGAAAAGTGTTTAGCCTACATGATATGGATCAATTGCCAAAAGAAGATTATAAACTAAAACTTGTGTTCTATTTTGCAGTTCCATTTGATGAAGATGAAAAAGACAAAAGCGTTTGGTTTTTGGATCATGATTATTTGGAGAACATGTATGGAATGTTTAAGAAAGTCAATGGTAAGTTTACTTGTTCTTAGGTTGATATGCCTGATACATGAATGAGATTTTTTTTTATAAAAAGAAGGAGGAAGTACCTTCAAATTCAAGCAGCCTTTCTTCTTAATGAGACTATGTTGTTATCTCGTAACCATCATCAACCCATAAGGCTAATGTTACACATTAAAAATTGTAAGTCGGTCTTAAAGTATACAGGCATTTATCGAATTGAAATTTGTTTGTTTTATAACATGAAAAATGTTTGTAGAAATTACCGTGGAAAGTTTTGATTCAGTATGTTCAGCCGTTATTGAGTTAATTGATTACATAGTTTGCATAAGGTACGATCTCAAAGAGCTTCGCTCAACTAGGTATGCGGCCTCATGTCTGCCAATTGAGCGGAGTGAGCATCAATATAAACAAATAACCTTATTTAAAAATACATTTTTTTATAAAAAAATATCATAGATTACAACATAAAAACATGAGTAAATGTTATTGATCAATAAACCTCATTTTAACCCATCGTTATAAGCAATTTTCTTAAATTAAATGGTTTATATTACAGTACCTGACTGCCAGTGATCCTATTGTCGTCACTGACGGACAGGTAATATAAACCATTTAATTCAATAAGTGATCCTGGGCCACTAAGCATAACAGGGCCGCATTAAGGGTCGGTGGAGCCCTGGGCAAACCCAAGAGCAGCGCCCCCTTTTTTCCTAGTGCTGGCAGGTGGTGCCAATATCACCCAGCGGGCGCCCACAAACCACCGGCGCCCCTGGGTATATGCCCATTCTGCCCGTCTATAAAAGCGGGCCTGAAGCATAATGAAATTTTCTTAAGTCTTGTCATCTCTTTTTTCTTTACTTACTATTTGCTTCTCTTATTTATGCTTTTGACTCTTTCTATAGGCCTAGAAAATGGCTCAAAAAGCAAGCCCTCAATTGCTCTAACTCTTGGCAATGCTACGTAGGTAAAAATAAAATTCTGACTTTCCTAAGTCCACCACAGCCTGAACTACAGTACATTCTTGACTGCAATGTAGGTACCGAAATTGATAGACAAGATTTATTGGATATTGCCTTTGAGAACATTTTACACCATACTGACAGTCATTATTTAGAGATTTGCTGTAGGCCTTAACATGGTAAATGTATCAGCAAATCTATAGCTGTAATTTACTTAACTGTGTGTGTGTGGTAGCTAATGGTGTCTAATCAATAATCATGCTTCAATGTTGCTCTGCAGCCAGAGAGAAAGTGGTTGGTTGGTACCACACCGGCCCCAAGCTGCACCAGAGCGATGTGGCTATAAATGAGCTGATTCGCAGATACTGTCCCAACTCCGTGTTGGTCATTATCGACGCCAAGCCCAAGGACCTGGGGCTGCCCACCGAGGCTTATAGGGCTGTCGAGGAGGTTCATGACGTAAGTCTACACATATCTTACTGTTACCCTCGTGTTTCCCCCCTGTAGTAATGAATTTGTGTGTCAATTAAATACATCTTGTATTTTAGTTTATCACTCTTTTGAATGGGGACACTATTTATGGAGGTAAATTGAACCCAAATAGACCCACAGGCTAAATGGAATAAACGGAGTGTAAGGTAAGTGGGATGCTTTGTGTAGGTTTGTTACACCCAAAGACTGGCTCTGTTACTTCAGCCAGGATCATTTTATAACCCCACCGATTATAGCAAGTCATCAAATACTGCTGAGAACTGAATGGATCAAAAGAGTGACCTTCAGATTGTTAGGCAAGCAGGTAACCACTCAGCCACTCAGAATTTTTACTGATTGATCATAGGCTACCTTAATAATTATTAGGTTTTTTTTTTAAAATAAGTATACTTCAAATCAAAATAAGGATTACTTTGACAACCCTGATTTCGTTTTCTGGTTAATACTCAATGATACTGTGATAGTAGTAATAATCAATGCTGTCCACACAACGCTCAGTGTGCGAATGTCTTGCAGGATGGCTCCCCAACGTCAAAGACGTTCGAGCACGTCCCTAGTGAGATTGGAGCGGAGGAAGCTGAAGAGGTGGGGGTGGAACATCTGTTGAGAGACATCAAGGACACGACTGTTGGAACTCTCTCTCAGCGACTCACCAATCAGCTGTTGGGGCTGAAGGGGTTACATGTACAACTGCAGGATATGAGGGACTACTTGGTGCAGGTACTTGCATGGCCCCCACATTAGATTGTGGGCCCTGTAACCAGAATAGAGCTCGGGCCCTCATTCACTTCATTCGCGTAGTATGCTATAATAGCAATTTTTCAACAATTAAAATTTTGTTTAAATCTAAGTAAGGAATAATTATGGAGACTATGAAATCAATGGAAAAAATAAAAACCCCGTATTTGCTAAATTATTGCAAAGGTAAATTAAAGTTAATCATCCACTTTTATTTTAAGCTACTGAAAGTAAATTTCTATTTTGTGTTTGATTTCTTGTACCGACCAGGAATAAAATTCAAGTTATAAAAATAATAAGATTATAACTACCTTGGGAGCTAAACAATTAAAATTGATTTTTGGTGTGTTTATTAGCCTTAGACTCTATCTAGTGTATTTTATGTTGCTCGAAATCAAGCAATTGCAAAGTATTACAGGAATTATTTAATAACAAAAAAATTCATAATTTCCGATAAGTTTAAAAGAGTCAACTCTAAGATTATGCAACTAAAGGAAATACTCACAATGTGCATAACAGATCAATATAATCAACATTTGTTTTGTATCATTTTTCAAAAACTGATATTGGTTTTAGCGTTTTGTACAGATGTTTCCCACTCATAGCCGCATTAGGTTGTCCATGTTTACCTTCGTCATTGATAATGTAGCCTTCATGGTACTACCACAGATTACAAAAAAACTTACTTCGATGGTCTATATAATCATAGCTTTCAAAGTCAAGAGAATTTCGTTAATTCAAAACTGAACCGAAAATCTAGCATTAATTTTATTTTTAACTTTGATGTAATAACTATTATGTAGGCTAAACTTTTTGGAATTTTAAATCCGCTTTAAATTATTCTTAAAAAATTAAATACAACTGTGACCAGAGTTGCACCAGCCCCACAAGTTGGGCCACGGGTACTTGATCCCTAGGAGCATCAGCCACATGTATGTGGGCCATTTGCGATCCGACTCCGTTAAACTAGTTTTGTTTGTTAAACTGCAGCATCCTGTCTATGTGTCATTTTATGCACAACAGATTTATACAATTGTCCATTACGATTACGGTTGTCTTACTACTTGCGACAACGTTCAAACAGAACAAATAGAACACTGTCAATGAATGGACACGGCTGTAGGCTTTTGGCAATAATTATTCCATAGTTCCCAATCTCATATGAAATTCATGAAGAATCCACAGTCTTTTTCCAGGTTATAAAAATGTTGTACAATTTCACTAATTCCAGGTTTTCCAGTCAGCTGTACACCTGTTAAATGAAATTTTTGTTCTGGTTTTGTGGTTAGGAGATATATAAATTTTAAAATTGTTATTGTGGATCTCTCTAACTTAACATTGAAAGATTTACTCATGTGAATCATTTTCCAGGTAGTAGACGGAAAGTTACCCATCAACCACCAGATCGTCTATCAGCTGCAGGACATCTTCAACCAGCTGCCAGATATTGGTCACGGTAACTTTGTCGACTCTCTGTATGTCAAAACCAACGACCAAATGTTGGTCGTCTACCTCGCTGCCCTCATCAGGTCCATCATAGCTCTGCACAACCTCATCAACAACAAACTCAGCAACAGAGACGCTGAGAAGAAAGAGGGCAAGAAAGAGGAGAAACCTGCCATCAAAGAAGAGGAGGTCAAGAAGGAGGTGAAGGCGAAATAATCTCATACTTAAATTTTACTATATATGTTTCTGTACAATAAATTATTTTCATTTATTCATAATTTAGTCAACATTATTTACACTTCCTTGAGATATACCATGTCTTAGTTGCATGGTATCTTTGACTTTTAAAGTTAAAAGTAGACAACCTATCTAGGCGTATATGGAAGAGCTGAAGCCTTTATTTTATTTTGAGAGGAACTTAGTTGAACGAGGTTACTCCCAAAGCTTGTTGCAGCTTAAAATTCTGTTTTAGCGAATTTCCCAATTCCACTACGCTCTTTGCCATCCTTAAGTTGACCACGTGATGGAATGTCTAGTCAAGTCCATCCATCCATAGTCAAAGATGGTATTCAAAGTTATATTTCAAATTTAACTCGGCCAAGTAGCTGGTTGGATGTTTGTAGCTTAATGTTTGATTTCGTCCTAGTCTAGAACTTTCAATTTGCTTTAGAAGCCCATATTAGGATGAGATACTAGTGTGCACTCTAAACTCTTATGTTATTCATAGTGTGATGGAAATTTAATTTGAAAATATTTAAATGTAACTTAATATGTGTAAAAGAAAATAAGTATTGCCCAGCATAACATATAAAAACTGAAAGAGTTAGTGTGTATTTGAATCAAACAGATTTGTAACACATGTGTTAAGTAATTTATTGGTTTCAATTTGCCTTAATGGCAATCACAAATTTTATAATGGCTTACAGTAATTAATTAATATGGAAATAAAGTTAGAACCAATGATGCTTACAATCAATTAGTGGAAAAATATTGTCTAAATGTGAACATATTGATATTTTGTTTGTTATTTTCAAACAACTAAGTAAAAGTATTGTTTTTCTAAAGAATTTACAAGTAACCACAAACTGACACAACTTTTCTTTCTAAGATTGTCCTGAATCGACTACCATACAATGTACATGTTAAGGTAAAAAGATACAGCAAAGTCTTCAAAGAGAAAACATGGGCCCATTAATCAATTACAATACGGTACAAAATAATTTAAATCTATAACAACAACCTAACAAACTTATAAACAATTCTTTGCTCAGAACTCTAACAAAATATATATTGGACCATTTATGCGCATGCGCAATCAACTTTTTAATGTTTAAAGTTTGTAGGACATAATTCTAATTAACATAGATGTTGTAGTAAGACAATCACACATTACTTTCTAAATCATACAATGTATCTTTTCACTGCATGTCAACACTCATAAGATCATCATCGGCTAAGTCACCCCACACGTCCTGTTGTCCATCAGACTTTGAACTAGTAGCAGCAACTGGGGTCGCTGAAAACAAAAATTAGAAACAAAATTAAGAGTTTCTAACAACCACAAACAACTTTAAAGTACAGAAAATACTGAATGGAGAATGGAACAAAATAGGGAACTAAAGTCGGGACCACGAAAGTTTGCAGTTAAGGGAGGAGCCTATTTACCACGTGACTTCGAAGGAGCCAATGAGGACAGTGCGGTGTTGCCAAATCTAATAATACCAGCTTTTTTGAAAATATAGTTTAGTTGTTAATTAGTGTCGTCAATGATGAGGGCGATATGACAACGTTGCACTAGCCTTGTCTTGTGATTGGCTGCCGCCAACTGCAAACTTTCGTGGTCCCGACTATAGGGATCTGTTTCAAGCAACTGATATGGTTGATTTTTTTGTCTTGAAATATAATCTTGGATAAGTTTTTTTTTTTCATTTGCAAAGCTGAAGTTATTGAAGTCCAGCTTCACTCATATTTTGAAAACTGGACAATGCACTAGGGGAAATCATTGACTTAGTAATTGAGTCTGAAACTCTCAAATCTCTGAACCAATACATTGCATTTTTGCATGTATGCTGCATGCAAAGAAACAGTCACTATTACAAATTATGGAGTTTAGGGGTATGAGTATGCCCTCTTCTGGATACTCATTTAAAATATTACCTGTAATGGCTGTAATCTCTTTCTTCCGTACACCAGCCTTTCCGCTCTTCACATTTTGACTATCCTCAAAGTACTGGTTGGGATGGTTGATCAGCCGCTCTGGAGGTTGTCCGTGGGTCAGTTCAAAGTACTTGGTGCAGGCCAGCTGGTAATGTCCTCTGTTGATCAGGTCAACTGTCTCTTGGACATCTGTTTCATGATAAATTGTTAATTGTAAACAAACCCACATTACTTTATTGCTGTAACAAGAGAGTAAATATCCTTCAAAATACAAGGTTTAAAACTTTTACAAGAAAATAGCCTAATGACAACTCTTCCTATCTCCTGCAATTGTCAATAAATTGGTATTTGATTTGAAAATGAACCATTTGGTTATTTACATTTAGGTAAAAACCAGATATTGCAGGAATTTTAATTTAACCACGTTTTGATCTAAAACAACTGGTTAAAACTATTGATTTACGATCCAGAATCAAAATCACTTTAAAAGAATAGTAATTTCTGGTGAAAGGCAAAACAAAATCAATATTGCACCGACGGCGGCAGTCCAAATATTCATTGCAATTCTAGTCTTAGTTTTTACTTTGTGTGGCCATTTGTTGTAAACATAACTCTCTAAAGGTTTGTGCATCACCACCTTGCGCATCAATAATAGACACACAGAAATTAATCTACCTGACTCATTTTGGCTGTTTTTAAGATGTAACAATAACCCCAAACTTTATCCATATATTGTCATGGTACAGGCAAAACTATATTTTATAATTATAGTTATCTGTTGTAATGTAGTGGTAAACCAACCTGCAGCGGGTACGTTGCTTTGGTTAAGTTGCAGGCGGATTGTAGACACATCATTGTGTTTGAATGGACAACCGTGCTGATCACCTGTCGTCACGCTGGCATTGATAATCTTCATACAGCTATGAGGCGTGTAGTTCGTCCTCTTACCCTCCTTGCCGTAACTGTGCCTCAGAAGGTAGGCAACACCGCCTTTTTCAAACTGTAAAAGTGTAAACATATTTTAAAAACATTTAATAGTAAACCCAATATTATCTGCACCTGCCTGAACGATACTAGTGTAATTGTAGTTTTGTGCTGCTATAAATGGAGCGAGAATTGGTTGCAGCAAGAAAAAGCGATAGAAAAGTTACACTACATGATAGTTTGTGCCAAGAGCAAAACCTGTAACCTAAAGTTAACTTGATAATTCTGATGATTCGGAAGCCAATTAACCAGCAAGATTTTACAACTTTATCACAAAAATTTTTGTTACTGATGTACCTGGTTTAAACTAGTTTAAATCCTTATCAGTGCCCTTTTCCTCTTTGAGATAAACAAGTGATAGGTATGATCAATTTTTTTTTAAATGACTAGGTACCATATATAATATATATACAGGGTTAGTAAAAAGTGTGGAGACCCCCTGTTATTTTTTTAACCGCCCATACTAGAAAAACTAAACTCGGCACACCTTTATGACATGTTATGAAGTACTTTTTGGGCATAACCGTCACTTGGTGTACATCCCCAAAATGGGGGATTTTTGGGAAACTAAAAAATTTCAAATACAAAGACCCATCGAGTGACCCCTCATTTTGAAGGTCCTGGTAAAAGAAAACCAAAAACGCAAACTAGAGGTCTTCATCTCAATCCAGTAAAAAATGGCAGCCAATTAAAATTCTCAGAAGTTCAATTTAACTTACAGCTTACCAGGTCTGGAGACCTGCTGCAAATTTTGTAGCGCCTCTAACTAGGTAAAATAAACTCCACACACCTTTTTGGCATGTTATGAAGTACTTTTTAAGCCTAATAGCCACATGCTTACCAAACTCAAAATGGGGGATTTTGGGGGAAACTTAAAAGTTTTAAATGATAAGCCCCATTGAGTGACCCCTCATTTTGAAGGTCCTGGTAAACGAAAACTAACAACGCAAACTAGAGGTTTCTATCTCAATGCAGTAAAAAATAGAAGCTGATTGAAATCTTTAGAAATTGGAAATCTTATCTTACTAATATTATAAATGTGAAAGTTTGTGTGTTTGTTTGTTTGTTAGAAGTTCAATCACGCATAAACTACTGGACGGATTGGGCTGAAATTTGGCATGATGATAGCTCACATTCCCGATTAACATATAGGCATATTCTTATCTCAAAAATCCTTTTGGGCTCCGCCCCAGTGGCTTTATAGTTCCCCATGTTAACCTTATGAGTATTCGTATTTGAAGAGAATTAAAGAATTTAGTCAGCTGGTTCAACTAAAAAGTGTGTTCTATTGTATGCAAAAGCTTAAAAAGTTATAAGATTTGCCAACAGGGTGCAGCACAATCTTTGTAACATTTATGAAAACAGCTATTTTGAACTCAGTTATGTTTATATTTTTAATTTCATGAATCATGAATCATTTGTGATATTTTGCGAATGTTAATAATTTATTTTTCTATATTGTTTAGGTGAAGTGGTAGAACTATATGGCTATGGTAGATGTTTACTAACAAATAGTAGGCAGGCGTGGCTATAGTATACTGTACTGTAAATTTAAAGAAGCAAATTTTATCAAACTGTGTCCTCCCCCATTGCAAATGCAAAGCTTGAGTAGGGAATTGCAATAAGCATTCAAACTTATATTCCAACCCCGTACGAAGGACGGTTACTCTGCTAGTAACTTATATTTTATATTCAATTAGCTGCCATATTTCACTGTGTTAAGATAGAGACCTATAGTTTGCGTTGTTACTTTTCTTTTATTATGACCTTCAGAATGAGCGGTCACTCGATGGGTCTTTGTATTTGAAATGTTTTAGTTTCCCCCAAAATCCCCCATCTTGGGGATGAACGCCAAGTGCCAGTTATGCCTAAAAAGTACTTCATAACATGCCATAAAGGTGTGCCGAGTTTAGTTTTTCTAGTATGGGCTGTTAAAAAAATAACAGGGGGTCTCCACACTTTTTACTATCCCTGTATATATATATAATATAAAGACATGTTTTATGTAAAACCCAATGTTTCAAAATATTTTCTTAGGATATTCAAGCCGTGGATATGTGGTGTTTTACTAGATTACATTCACACCCTGACAGACAATACACCAGAGTGTGTATTAGATTTTTTTTTTAAGTGAAGGTTAAGTATTGAACGAATGAGACGACTGTTATTAAGATCAGTGGGGTTTCCAGCCAGAACCATTTATTAAAAATCCAAGGACAGATGGGTCCAGTTTTGAAGTATTTAAGATTTTCTAGCTTTGCACAGTACCAAACTGGCGACCTTCTAATTACAAGGCAAGTATTATATAAACTCAGCTACCCAGCTATCTACACCCTGGCAGGGGAACGGGGAACTGTAACCGTTTAGCTACCAACAATCTGAAAGTCACCTTTTCCGGTTCCACTTTGGCCCACTCCTCGCGCCACATGGTGGTGATGTCTTCCAACGTGACTCCAATACCTTTGAGGAACATAGCGTACTGTAGCCGACCGTGATGACGCAACTTGTGATCCTGGCGCAGTCTGTAGTGCAACTGCCGCATACAAAGTGGGAAGCTCTGCCTCGCAAGCTAAAAATACAACAAATTTTAACTGATTTAGTTTTAGTATGTAAAAAAATTATGACTTCCTCGGTCACTGTACAAACTAGCGTAACAGACATAAAGACTGGAAAAGATGTGTTGTAGGCTGTAGCACCACACGTATAATAACCCCAAGTAAGCTTTATTATTGGAAGCTTGTTGGATTGAATCAATCATTTAACGTTGAATAATTTCATACTCACAGAATCAATACACTCTATTGGAACTTTGTCTCCAGATTTCCTGGTTGAATAGTCTTCACCAATGTATGCATGAGGGAGGGACTTCAAATATCTAAAGATTCTGTCTTGGTCTTCCCCAGTAGCTTCCATGGATGGAAGTAGTCGTGCAGTCCTCTGTAAAATATATAATGGCATTATTTTACTTACGAGATTCAAAGAATTTGGTAAATAATACATTCTGTTCACTGTTAAAAACTGCAAACCTGAGTTATCACTGGTTAACAATCAAACTAATGGTAAAACAGCCCTGAACCAGCTAATCCTCCAGTATAGGAACTATGATATTTTATAGGAAAAATCACAAAAGTTGCAATAACTTTTGAACCGTAATTTTTACAGCATTGGGGGTCGCACTATTTTATTTAGAACTATAAAGACCATAACATACCACTAATTTTAATCAAAACCGGTTCTTTTAAAATTCAATTTTCTGTTATTTTATGGAAAAACTAAATAGGTTACAATAATTTTTTAACCGAATGGAGTCATACCATTTTCACAATTCAAAGGGCTAATATAACATAGGCCCTACTAAATGAAATTTTTATCAAAATTGTTCGGGCCATTTTTGAGAAAATGGGATTTTTCCGCTATTTGATGAGTTTATATAAGTAAAATCATCATTAAAAATGAAAATGAAAGAAAAACGCCTGGGAGATACCATGAATTAATAGTATTAATACTGTACCTACATACCAAATTTCATCTAAGTCGGACTACTGGTGTGGTCTGTAGCTCTGTACACATCCACACATATACAGACAGACACACACATACATACATACATACATACACACAAGAACAGATTTAGGTTATTACATACAAATATTAGATTTAGGTCTTTAAGGTTAAGACTTCTCAAACACTGCAAATATTTATTTACTTACCGATAACTCGTTTGAAAGCCTGTTTCTAACCATAGTAAGTATAACTGAAATAATCTCGTTGTTTGTGATGTAAGCATATCCCAAGTGTAAGAACACTTTGCGACTTCTCACCAAGTCCAATACTGTAGTGAAAGACACCTTGTAGTAATCCAATGAACTGGAAATCACCCCGTACGACATCTCAACAATTTGACTCAAATCTTCAGACGGTATCTGAAAAAGAAAGTTATTTCATTACAAAGGGGCATATTTAAATGGGATTTTTTACATAGCGGGACCACGCTGTCTAGAATCAGACTGACTAAGCAACAAGTGGGTCTCTTATTATGGCACTTTTTTAACAATTGCGGGTCTCTTATTATGGCACTTAACAAATGTGGTGCGTACACATACTCTACTCACTCTGTGTTAATTAAGTTAATCACTTTATCAAGAAAATTATGTACTTTGTTATTTTAAGCTTAACATAAATGCAGGATGGGTAATAAGAGTAGGGTGGGATAACAATGTTGCTTTGTTACTGACACAAATCAGCTGTTTCTTTTTAGCCAAGACCATTTATTAAAACCAATGATCAAGGACAGCTGAATCCTGTTTCAAACCATCAAAAGCTACAGTAGTGTCTTTTTTATTGATCTGCGGACATTGTGGTTAATAGACTCGACTCAGCTACTGAGTTGATCACGTAAGTTTCAATATAAACACGCTTAGCATTCACCGCTTATTTGATTCCCAGTTAAAAACAAACTAGACCTGCAAAAACTGCAAATTTAGAACTGCTGTGCAAAACTAGATCCTGTTTCAAATCTCTGGAGGTAAAAGATAGTAGACACGATGGCACTAAGAGTATGGAAATACCTAATAGCAAATTTATTATCCTAAACACTACATTTATAACAGCATTTATTTGTTTTTTATTTTTGGAAACGTTTCCTAGCAGAACACAACAGTTTATTGATGATGCTACTACTTTTAAGTATTGAGTAAACTTTGAGCCGATTTAAGTTTAACAAAATAGTAGGCTATATGATACATTTACTAAAGAAGAACAACATATTTTAAACTTAAGTTAATTTGTGCACTGAATTCTTATACTATCAACAAGTTTAACAGACTTACTGGTTTGTAGTTGAGATTGTTAATCCGAATAAATTCTGCTTTCCCTTCATTTGACAAATTAAGCCATCTCAACTTAAATAAATCCAACTCCCTACTGATGAACCATCTTTTCAACTCCTCAGTGCGACAGAAAGCGAGACGAAGTACAAAGTGTGAAATATGGTCAGCTTTCCTCGCTGAGTAGTCTGGCTCTTTAGAAGTACCATGGCTTGTAATCTAAAAGAATCACAGAAATGTCAATTTTTTTAAATGTGATTGTACAGATTTAGTATCCATAAAGATTTTAATAGAAACTACAGTAGAAAACCCATCATCCGAATCACTTTTAACCAAAACACCGATTACCCGAATCGGCCTAAGAAAATAAAAACAGCGAAGCATGTCTTAGATAAAGAAAGAGAAAGTAATTGAGGAAGGGTGGCAAAGGATTCTAGATTGAGGCGATTGACTACTACAATATAAAACTACAAGAACACTACCCCCTACAGTGTGATTTACAGTATTTGAATCCTGGACGGGACTGGTGTCTGACACGTTTCTAATAAAGCAATGGCAAGAAGTGCTACTAGATAACATATTTTAAATGTATAGTATAAATGTTCTAAATGTACCGATATATTTGTATCTAGGCTATATTAGGTCTTAGTTTGAATTAATTTTAAGTGTTATGGTATAACCTAAAAAAAATATGCTTTAGTTACCATTATCACATCTTCAATGCTAAAAAACAATCTTCCTTTTTAACAGGTATTTTTGTTATCAGGTACGACCCCTCCCTTTTTTTTGGTAAATAGAGGTTCTACTGTACACCCTTACAGAATAACGTTTTAGAGACCTGATTTATGATGTACCTAATCAAAGAATTGTACTATTTAGGCTTGGGCAGTCTTCACTGAGATTTTAGTGTTGTTAGTCTTGTCATTATGTCTTTATTAGCTGTTTACTTTTCAGTTCATCTGTAGCGTTTCCAGTCAGGGTAACCACAGAACTACTGGAAAAAAATCTACTCATTTTTCTCAGTTTCCCAACAGCAAAACCTGGGGAGTTTTTCAGCCCAACTTGGGTTGAGTCGAGCCAAGCGTTTGGGAAGCTGTGTGATCAATAATTGACAAATTCATTGCGACTGTGAGTGATGATCACACTTTAGCCATAATCATGCCAAGATGATGATTTCGCCGTGATTGCTGATGTTTTTGACCATAGATGTTTTGCTGATGTTTTGTATTTTCCTGTGACCATAGAAGATACTCACAACCATGCGGAGACTGCTGAAGATGTTCTCGACTTTTACTGCGACCGCAGACAATGATATCGATTTCACCTTGACCGTGAAAGGTGTTTAAATGATTTTGCAAAGATCATGGAAGTTTTTTATGATTTCGCTGTGACCTCGGAATATGTAGGTACATAATTCTTCAGATACGATAGAATATGTTCTCAATTTTGCTGTTACCCAGAAGTTGTTGGAATCATTTTGCTGTAACCTTGGAAGATGTTCGAACAATGTCTTAACAGTGGGGGTTTTCATGCGCTACTGAAGTTTTGAGCGTTCAAACAAGCAGTTCATAGCTGGGTGTTTAACATTTCTAAACTCGTCTTAAAATCCATATTAGCCTATAACAAAAATCCAGGCACTAACATAAGATTTTTTTTTCGGTTTTAAATTTCTGAATTCTCGCATAATTCCCGGATTTCTTTGCCTGTGACCCCCCAGTGTTAACACTAATAATTTGTATAACAAGTTGGATAAGGCTTACAGATCATTTTGTAAATCTAGTTATACTCAGACTCTGGCACTAGCACGTCTGACACTTAGTAGTGATACTAAATATTCATCAGTAAGGTACTGTTCATTCAAAGGTTCCAGCTAACCCCTTGCTTTACTTAACAAGCTCCAAGCACAGTCCTGAGGTGCCCAAATGGTTGTGCTAATAATGAAAGTTTTAAAGAATACACCAACCTCTTAGAAAAAACATGATTATGGCTTGGTAAAACCTGTTGATAACATTTTATCATCGCAATCAAGTCTCACTAATGTCCTAAATTGTCACCTTTTTTAAACATTAGTAATTTACTTATTTATGGCCTTATAAGTTAAAAATGTATTGCATAAAACTACTAATTTTCAGCCAACACCCTTAATTTAGTATTATGAAATAAAAATTTTCATTTACCAATTTGTGAAAGAATTTAAGTCCAGGGTGTTTCTTGATTTCATCAGCAACTGCTTTCTTCCACTCATCTGAGTTTTTTGCCAATCCTCGGGAACTTACTTGCTCTATGATTCGCAGAACTGTAAAGTAGTCTGAGTTAATATTAAAATGGAGACTAAAATGTAAACTAATAATGTATATTTTTATTACACATATTTAAAATCTCCCTGGAAATTTTTTTTATTACAATTTTATTTACAACCTGTTCAGTTTTTTTTTAACATTCAGCAAATACAATATTACGCTACAATATTACAATATTACAATATTAGCTATTAATAAAACGTTAGTTAGTCTTTGTCCATCGACAGATCTAACTTAAAAATATTTCTATGAAAAAATAATTAAGTAAATAAACAAGAGAAAATTAATTTGTAATACCAGTTTTTTTGATCACTTAAAAACAGATTGCTGACTGTTATATAACTGTTATTGTTTGACAAAGTATAGAAATTATGTAGTGACATTAGTATGTGTTTGATTATGAAGTTTTGGTCAACTCTGTATGTTCAAAAACCTCTCTCCAGAGATCAGGTACCTACATATTTTAAGTAACCTAACTGGTTCAAATATTCAATTCATATTTGAAGCTATTTTACTTGATCATAAGTTTTGAGCTTCATAACTTGTAGCTTGAGAGGGAGGGAGGCATGGGTTCAGTTTCATAAAAACTGGTATACCAATTGATGTAGTCAGCACTGAACGTGATAAGGCCCAGCGCACACGGTGTAAGTGTTTTGCAACTTCTGTTGTAAACCATTTGCGTCTGAAACCAGTTTGCAACTGAAACAAAGCTTTGGTCCGCACATGGTGTGACTGTTTTACAATCAGTTGCGTCTATCGTGCAATCAGTGGAGTGTTAATATAAGTGCTCAGTTAAAGTGTTGTTTTAAGGCCTTAAGTGCGCTTATTATGTCAGACTCGGGCAAAGAAGATGTTATTAGCTATTATCAATAACGAAGACAGCGAAGAGTAAGTTACAGAGAGAGCATTGGGTTCACCCTTATTTGAGTAAGAATGTGAATTCTAGTTTGTAGCAGCTAGGGAGCTGTCACAGTCGGATAGGAAATTTGAATCTTTTTCAAATTTGAAATGAGAAAGCTTCAAGCTGAATTCTTGATCATTCATTTTACGATCGACACTATACGGTCGTCAAAATACCACCAAAACACCACGTGGTCTCGTGCAACTAAAGTCTGCAACACAACTGCAACTGCACGGTTGTATAGAACTGGTTTCAAACTGTTTTTGATATCGTGAACAACTAGGTAGTCGTTTCGTGTGCGCCTCCCCACTGCAATACATTGCCGAGGTCAAAAAACGGCTGTTGTTTAACTTAAAGCAGCCACATCGTGTGCCCTGGGCCTTAACTGAACTGACGGATGTGACTTTTTTTGGGAAGGCAAGTTGCTTGTCAAACAGTTCTTTTATTGAATACAAGGGCCTGCTGGGTAGGCTCTGGCAAAGAGTGTATTTGAATTGCTTTGGGTTTAGAGCTCGGATATTTGTTGGTAGCGTGTTGAGTAGTTTTATCGCTATTAAGGGGTATGACTTAAGTGTGTGACAAGGCCGACAACGAGATAGTTCAAGGTCACAAGGAATGTGCAAGCTTGAAAAAATGCATGAACCTAAAATTAAATTGTATAACTTGATCACAATTTAAGCTTGGGTAAGGTACTTAGGGTCTACATGGTAATTTTACATGTTTTAAGTTATTAAGTAGGCTAGTCGAATCTATATGTAGGCTACAGGAAGTGGGAAAAACATCTTTGATCTATAAGCAGCTTTGAGTCTAGGCTAGGTCTTTGTTAAGGGATGTGAACATAGGCCTACCTGTCAGTCTAGAAACCGCAAGTTCCTGAAATTCTGAAAGAGAAATATCATTGATAGGTGGTACAATGTACATTTGAAGATCGTGTGGGTATAATTCAGCCAAAGCTCCTTGTTCAGGTGTAAGCACGACTCTCCTTCTGCTAAAATCCATGATTTAGGCTACTAATATCACAAGGCCTCCTTGAATTATTTTAAAGAACGCGATAAAATCTATTGATTTACTATGAGACCCTACGCATATATATTATGTTATTTACATTGTATCACTTCACAAAACAAATGTAAGCTATTTCAAGCAGAACCGTATTGACGAAGACATAGGTAAGGCTAAATTTATAGAAGCAAAGCAGAATAGCAGATTAGCAGAAAGCAGAAGTAGCAAGTAGAGTCAATATTCACCAGGCTGAAGTTAGCTGTCGAGCATCTGACGAATGCTAGGTCATAAAACTGTCAGGAGGGAACAATAGGAACACTCGCTTCAACTTACAACAGACCAGTGCTTGGTCCTGGTTCTGTCCATGGTTCAGTCTTAGTGTGAGTAGACTGGTGATAATATTGACCCGAAAAATGTTTGTCTTACAATAACTTAAACAGACTTATTGGAAAAGTTATTAATAACTAGCCTATTCAGTACAAAAGTCATAGACAAACACTTAATTTTAATGTACAAGACTTCGGAGTTTCGTGAAAAATTCTAATGCCAGATCAACTGGACTAGCTGCTTTCACTTTACCATTTTACACTTTTAAATCTATCAGTTTCGATTTGTTGATATGTGACTATCACACAATTAGATATATCAGTGTTTACTACTGATATATATTATCAAAACTCTTGACACTTTCCAGGAAGTTGATTTATCAAGCGTTGAAAATAGGTTTTAGCCGGCGATACGTCATGTGCGGGTCTCGGGATCTGCGAGTTAAAAAGTTGTCATTTTCGATTTGTTATTACGTAAGAAAAAACAATGGTACCAATATGTGACTATCACACAATTGTAGATATCAGTGTTTACTACTGATATATATAATCAAAACTCTTGACACTTTCCAGAAAATTGATTTGTCAAGCGTCGAAAATTAGGTTTTGGCTCGTAATCCGACATGTGCGGGTCTCGGGATCTGCGAGTTAAAAAGTTGTCATTTTCGATTTGTTATTACGTAAGAACAAACAATGGTACCAATATGTGACTATCACACAATTGTAGATATCAGTGTTTACTACTGATATATATTATCAAAACTCTTGACACTTTCCAGGAAGTTGATTTATCAATCGTTGAAAATAGGTTTTAGCCGGCGATACGGCATGTGCGGGTCTCGGGATCTGCGAGTTAAAAAGTTGCCATTTTCGATTTGTTATTACGTAAGAACAAACAATGGTACCAATATGTGACTATCACACAATTGGAGATATCAGTGTTTACTACTGATATATATTATCAAAACTCTTGACACTTTCCAGAAAATTGATTTGTCAAGCGTTGAAAATTAGGTTTTGGCTCGTGATCCGACATGTGCGGGTCTCGGGAGCTGCGAGTTAAAAAGTTGTCATTTCCGATTTGTTATTACGTAAGAAAAAACAATGGTACCAATATGTGACTATCACACAATTGTAGATATCAGTGTTTACTACTGATATATATAATCAAAACTCTTGACACTTTCCAAAAAATTGATTTGTCAAGCGTCGAAAATTAGGTTTTGGCTCGTAATCCGACATGTGGGTGTCTCGGGATCTGCGAGTTAAAAAGTTGTCATTTTCGATTTGTTATTACGTAAGAACAAACAATGGTACCAATATGTGACTATCACACAATTGTAGATATCAGTGTTTACTACTGATATATATTATCAAAACTCTTGACACTTTCCAAAAAATTGATTTGTCAAGCGTCGAAAATTAGGTTTAGGCTCGTGATCCGACATGTGCGGGTCTCGGGATCTGCGAGTTAAAAAGTTGCCATTTTCGATTTGTTATTACGTAAGAACAAACAATGGTACCAATATGTGACTATCACACAATTGGAGATATCAGTGTTTACTACTGATATATATTATCAAAACTCTTGACACTTTCCAGGAAGTTGATTTATCAAGCGTTGAAAATAGGTTTTAGCCGGCGATACGGCATGTGCGGGTCTCGGGATCTGCGAGTTAAAAAGTTGTCATTTTCGATTTGTTATTACGTAAGAAAAAACAATGGTACCAATATGTGACTATCACACAATTGGAGATATCAGTATTTACTACTGATATATATTATGAAAACTCTTGACACTTTCCAGAAAGTTGATTTATCAAGCGTTGAAAATTAGGATTTGGCTCGTGATCCAACATGTGCGGGTCTCGGGATCTGCGAGTTAAAAAGTTGTCATTTTCGATTTGTTATTACGTAAGAAAAAACAATGGTACCAATATGTGACTATCACACAATTTGAGATATCAGTGTTTATAACTGTTATATATAATCAAAACTCTTGACACTTTTCTGAAAGTTGAATGATCAAGCGTTGAAAAGTAGTTTTTAGCTCGTGATTCGACGGTTGCGGGTCTCGGGCTGTGAGTTAAAAATTGCTAGTTTCGATTTGTTATTGCGTAAAAACAAACGATGGTACCAATATTTGACTATAACAATATTAGAGATATCAGTGTTTATTACTGTTATATATAATCAAAACTCTTGACACTTTTCTGAAAGTTGAATGATCAAGCGTTGAAAAGTAGTTTTTAGCTCGTGATTCGACGGTTGCGGGTCTCGGGCTGTGAGTTAAAAATTGATAGTTTCGATTTGTTATTGCGTAAAAACAAACGATGGTACCAATATTTGACTATAACAATATTAGAGATATCAGTGTTTATTACTGTTATATATAATCAAAACTGTTGACACTTTTCAGAAAGTGTAATTTATCAAGCGTTGAAAATTAAATTGATGATGATTTTAAAGAACAGTGTTTGATGTGTTTTGGTTTACAGTTAGAAGATAATTTCACTGATTCTTATGGTAGATGTCAAAATTTGTTCGGCTAACAAATATAATGAATGGATTCAATATACTGAAGGACATTCCTAACCAAATACGTCTATATTTACAAATTGTAGTGCAGTATTTTAGAATGAAATATAGATATTTCAACTATGCTAGAGTGGTAAACAGGTTACTTATTTGCGCCCGTAATAGTCGTGTCGTAATAGCTTGGCCATTTCAGTATGAAACAACTAGATTCGACAATAAACACAAACCTGGTTGTTCATACATAAATGGCCTCTCGGGTGAGAGGCACTAGGTATCTGAAACATAAAATCAATTAATATGTTCACACAAGGGTGTAGGCATTCTTATATAAATATTTTTTTTTTATTTTTTATTTTATTATTTTTTTTGTTTTTTTTTGTTTTTTCATTCATCTAAAAGCTATGGTTTGATCAATCAAACCGCGCACCGCACTTATGCCACCAGGCTGCTGTTAGCCCCTCCCCGGAAGCTTTGCCTCCGAAGTCGGTCTCCCCAGGGGCCGTCAAAGCTAACTGCATACAATGCATAGTCCCTGCGTGGCACAGCCCTCCAAAGTGCGCCCTTATATAAACTTAATAATATATTAATACACTGCTCTTGATTAAGGCAGTGCTATCGGTGGATAATCATGCAGGAAAGAAGGTTACAATAAAGCAAAATGTTGCAGTTGGAAGATTTTTGAATTATGATTATAGTTGAAAGTTTGGATTACAGTTTTAATGTTATTATACTTGTTTTTTTAGCAATTTCTTTTAGTAAACAAATCAAAGCAATGCATTTCAAAACAGAGACCTTCATACGCAAGGTGACTAGGATTGTTTCCGCTCTTAAAAACATCACTATAATATGTAAGACATGTGAAGTTTTAATGTTTTTATACTTGATTTTTTAGCAATTTCTTTTAGTAAACAAATCAAAGCAATGCATTTCAAAACAGAGACCTTCATACGCAAGGTGACTAGGATTGTTTCCGCTCTTAAAAACATCACTATAATATGTAAGACATGTGAAGTTTTAATGTTTTTATACTTGATTTTTTAGCAATTTCTTTTAGTAAACAAATCAAAGCAATGCATTTAAAACAGAAACCTTCATACGCAAGGTGACTAGGATTGTTTCCGTTATTAAAAACATTACTATAATATGTAAGACATATGAAGTATTAATGTTCTTATACTTGATTTTCAGCAATTTCTTTTAGTAAACAAATCAAAGCAATGCATTTAAAACAGAAACCTTCATACGCAAGGGGACTAGGATTGTTTCCGTTATTAAAAACCTTACTATAATATGTAAGACATATGAAGTTTTAATGTTCTTATACTTGATTTTTAGCAATTTCTTTTAGTAAACAAATCAAAGCAATGCATTTAAAACAGAAACCTTCATACGCAAGGTGACTAGGATTGTTTCCGTTATTAAAACCATTACTAATATTTAAGACATATGAAAGCAATAAATACAATAAATGGCAATTAAAAGTGTGATTTATATTTAAATTGAATAAAAATTGCTAACTCAATATGGCTCAATGTAGCTGACTGATTGTTTTTAATTAAACTTTTTCGAATATAACAAAAATTCACAACTGTAATCCAAACTATGTTCGATGTTGTGTTGTATTACACATGTGAACAAAGAGGGCAGTAAAACTCAAAGCCCTCTGACTGGATCACGTCAAATGTCACTTCGGTTGCCAGGCAGGGATAATGGAGCCAGCGTTTACATTGATGGCATTGGCACCAATCGTGACGTTTTTTTTTACCTGACCCACACAAAAAACATAAGTCTTTCATGTCAGAGGACTTCTGAAGAACACGGAGCGTAATTTAAAAAATTATAAAATAATATTTTAATATCTGTGTAAATGTTAATTTCTTATATCTGTTAACATAGAATTATTTTAATTTGTCTCATTGTCTGTATGAAATATGATTTATTGTGTTGTCCCACTTTACGTGTATAGTTACTTAAATGGATTCTGTAATCTAACACAATTTTTAATGTCCTGTTAATGATATTTTGTTCTTCCACATTTTGCCCTATTTTACTTACTTCTGAAAAGTGTCAAGAGTTATGTTTAAATATAATAATAATCACTAATATCTAAAATTGTGTGATATACACATGTTGGAACCGTCGTTGGATTGTGCGCAATCACAAATCGAAACAGACAACTCTGAAACAGGCAGCCGCACGCGTCGGACTTTTTAACTTGCAGATCCCGAGACCCGCACGTGTCGGATCACGAGCCAAAACCTAATTTTCAACGCTTGATAAATCAGCTTTCTGGAAAGTGTCAAGCGTTTTGATTATATATAACAG